GTGCACCGGGCCTCTAGTATATATATAAAACCCTAATATGCAAATAGACCGAACAGTGGAACAACTGAACAACTGGTTGCTATGACGTGTGTTGACCACCAGGGGGCACGTGCGGAACACGGCGGGCGTTGGCCGCAGCGGGATGGTGGAGCAGGTGAGTGGGGGTGTCAGACCAAGGCATCAGGGTGAGCCTCTGGTGGTTACTGAAAATTCTTTGCTCCCACGTGCCGCGGTCCCCACCCAGCACCCACCCAGCACTCGCACCTGCTGCTAGCGCCGGCCCCACTGGCACCCACTGCCAGCACTGGAGCCACTGCTTGCACCCACTGCTGGCACCCGGCACCAGCCCTGATCACTCGGTGCCATCAGCGGGTACAAGCGGCGGCTGCTGGCCCCAATCATCCCTGAGGGCTTCTCCACCACCCCCTGCTCCTTAGGGGTGATCAGGGCAGCAGCAGCCGCTCCCACCTGCTGACAGCACCAGCCCCGCTTGCACCCACTGATAGTCAGCAGGAGCGAGGGGGGCCAGGCGCCATCAGCGCGTGGAAGCAGCAACGGTGGAAGTGGGGCTGCTGGCAGACAGGGGGCAGGGGGCCACAGTGGGAGGGGCCGAGTTGGGGCATGGAGGATGGGCCGAGACCTGCCCCTGTGCCCACCACAGCCTCTTGGTCCACAGTTCCTTTCAAGGTGCACGAATTCGTGCACTGGGCCCCTAGTATACTGATAATATAAATTCATATATTGAATATGTAGATAAATGAATTCATATATTTCATAGTTTTAGTAATATAAATTCATATATTTAATAGTTTGAGTAACATAAATTCCTACATGGAATGTTTGGTGATATAAGTTGACATACTAATAACCCACAAACTGATGTATTACTAACCCACAAGCGATAAGAACCTGTTTCTTGCTGGCAGCAAGAGGTGGGGAAGGGACCTGATTATGCTGCATTTGTAGAAAAGTCTTTCTGATATCTGGAGTGGAGGATGACGTGGGTGGAGGGTGCGGGGAGAGGTGAGGGGCCGGCGGGAGCCGGTGATGGACTCAGCAGTCGCAGGGTCTGATCCTGCTCTCACCCTGGGCCAGATGAGACTCCTCCTTCCTGGGCCCATTTCCCCTCTGAGGCAGGTGCAGCAAGGCCAGAGCACTGAGCTCTCCGCAGGGTCTAACTTGGGCGTTCAGTTTTCCCAGGATTGTCCTGGGTTTGGCCCTAACAGTCCTGCATCCCCGGAGCCTCTTGGTCCAAGGCAAACAGGGATGATGGTTGTCTTAGAACATGTCCCCTAAAGCCAGGAGCCTCCCTGGGAGAAGCGATGGAGCCGGAGGAGGAGAGGAGAATCCTAAGAGACCAAGTCTTAACTGGAACACGGCTGAACTCTCCAGGGTCATCTGTAAAATGACCTTTCTGAGAACCGGGGAGCTAGGCTGGTTCGGCATTTATAGCAATGCGGACCCGTGGCATTTGGACAACACTCAATGAGTATTCTGAACACGTGGGCATTGCCCATGGGTCCCGGGGAGTCTCACTACCTCACCTGACCGTTGGTAGCGATGCCACTGCTCCTGGGTGATGAGGCCCAGCCTCCAGGCTTCCTGGGCTCCACAGCGCAGCACAGAGGTCAGGGTGGCCTCCTCCGGCGCATGGGTGTCCCTGGTGCCCAGGGCCTGCAGCACGTAGCTGGGGGGCACAGTGTTCTCGTCCCTCCGGAAGTGGTGAGCCACCAGCTCCAGGTCACCTGGCCTGGTGGTCAGCTGGGCCTTCAGTGCCTCCCACTCCTTCTCCTCGATCAGCGTGGGGACCGGACAGGGGCCGTACTGGTCACCTAGGAGGGCCTGGCAGAGAGAAGGTAAGAGAGACGGGCACGGGTTCAAATCTCGCTCTGGCACTTAGCTCTATGACCCTTGGTGAGGCACGCAGAGCTCCTAAAAATGTGTCTGGCTGTAGTGCGATGGTGAAAATCACATTAAGAAATGCAGGCAAAGATAGCACCTGTGTGTGGAGGTACCTGAGAGCACGGGAGGTACATTTGGAATCTGATCGAGCATCTTTTGCTTGGGAAGCCCTCTGTGGCAGTTGAATAGCAGCCCCCTCCCCCAAAGATACCTGGTTATAATCCCTGGACCCTGTGAATGTACCTTTAATCAAACAAGGTTGTGATGTTGATTTTATGTGTCAGTTTGACTGAGCTAAGGGATGCCCAGATAGCTGGTTAAACATGGTTTCTGGGTGTGCCTGTGAGGGTGTCTCTGGAAGAGTTAGCATTGGAAGTGGTGGACTGAGTAAAGTAGATGGTCCCCAGTGCTGGTGGGCCTCATCCAATCCACGAAGGGCCCCACAGAACAAAAAGGAGAAAGGGCAAACTTCCTCTCTGCTTGAGCTGAGATATCTGTCTGCTGTCGTTGGACATCGGTTCTCAGGTATTCAGACTTAGATGGGGATTTACACCATCAGCCCCTCAATTCTCAGGTGTCAACACAGGCTGAATTACACCACCGGCTTTCCTGGGTCTCCTGCTTGCAGATGACATATGTAGAACTCCTCGGCCTCCATAATCATATGAACCAATTCCTATAACAAATCTCCTCTTATCTATCTATCTATCTATCTATCTATCTATCTATCTATCTATCTATCTATTATCTATCTATCTATCTATCTATCTATCTATCTATCCCATTGGTTCTGTTTCTCTGGAGATCCCTCACTAATACCAGAGTCTTTGCTGATGCAATTAAGTTAGATGGGCCCTAAATGCAATCCTGAGAATCTATCTATACTAATAAAAGGGCAATGTGCTAATTAGACCGGGAGACCTTTCGGACGTCCTTTGGGACAAAGCCATGGTGGCGGGGCCGAGGCAGAGGTGGTTAGGGGCGATCAGGCCAGGAGGGGAGGGCAGTTGGGGGTGAGCAGGCCAGCAGTGGGGGGCAGTTGGGGGCAATCAGGCCAGCAGGGGCGGGGAGTTGTGGGC